AAAAAATCAGAACAACTTTAATAAAAATGAATGACTCATGTAGGCTAATCGATCAATCAGGGTTTTAAAAATCGTCAATAAAACAGCTTGTGAATATTGTTGACAAAAATTATGACATTTCTCAAAATCTCTTCTTTTATTTTTGAAAGGTTAAAGAAATTCATGCATGTTTGGAACGACAATAAGGGTGAGTAAATTATGAAAGAAATTTTAAATTTTGCTAAACTATCTTTTAAGTGTAGTTTAACCTTGTTGTTCCAAGACATACAACGCCTCACTGAATTTAAATTTCTGTTTAAATTTGTTGTTTACACTTGTTTTTGCATAACCACACATATATTCACCTGTGTACATAGAAAACGTATTACTATGTTGTTTGTGTCATGGTAATATGGTGTTTTGAAGTTAATATGGTAATTTGAGTACCATACAAATACCACAGTATATGAAAATGAAGCCAGTTTAAAGTAAAACAAATACCATAGTAAATAAAAATGATACCATAGTATATGAAAAAGAAGCAAATTTAAAGTAAAAAAAAAATCTTTCTTTAAGCTATCACACAATTTAAACCAGCAATACACAAAACAAGCTTACTTACACACATAATATGATACAGTCAAGGTTTCATCTACATAGTTAAACACTATCAAAAGACTGCGATTTAAAGTCAAACTTCTGACATGCACTACTGCACTGATGTACTTACCGTTAAAGGTGGCAGTGCATACATGCAGAAGAATAATGGAAAACAAGATAGTTTTGACCCCCATGAGTACCGATCAGAGATCACTTTCTAAACTGTACAAACCTCTGTACAGACACTGCTTCTTCACTCTCTGAGTGCTCAGTCTTTTCTGTGAGGAGAGGCTTGGATTTATATACTGTGACATCACTGGGTCCCCCACCCTCCACTGAACCCAAATTCATTCCTATTCATTGCTACAACCTACAGAGCGAATGAGAAATCAAGGCGTAATTAACAGACACTCGCAGTATACTCGCAGCTCAGGTTAGAGGATTTTGTTTGACTGTTTGTGTTTGATGGTGTGTTTGTGCTTTTTGTCTTCCGCCCCACCCTCCACTGAACCCAAATTCATTCCTATTCATTGCTACAACCTACAGAGCGAATGAGAAATCAAGGCGTAATTAACAGACACTTGCAGTATACTCGCAGCTCAGGTTAGAGGATTTTGTTTGACTGTTTGTGTTTGATGGTGTGTTTGTGCTTTTTGTCTTCCTCCACCAGATCAGAGAGCGGATCTGCTCTCTGCATTGAGACGAGCCATAGTAATATAACGGAGGGTCCAGAAAAAAACTTGCGTTTTGTCTTCCTCCACCAGATCAGAGAGCGGATCTGCTCTCTGCATTGAGACGAGCCATAGTAATATAACGGAGGGTCCAGAAAAACACTTGCGCTCCCCAAACACACAGCCATCAGGTAATATTTCCCCTCCTCATCGCATGCTTCCGGTGGCAAAACGAACAGTGGTACAACAAGATTCCATTGGTTGGTGCAAAGCACAGCATAAATGCCACAATACATTTTCTGCTCTGCAAAACATCCCCTCACCTTAAAGCCTATTGTCAATCTGTTTCAAATTTAAAAAATCAAATTTTAAAGGTCTTTGTATTAATAGGATGAACAATATATTTTGTTTTTCTTGCAGTGGTACAACAAGATTCCATTGGTTGGTGCAAAGCACAGCATAAATGCCACAATACATTTTCTGCTCTGCAAAACATCCCCTCACCTTAAAGCCTATTGTCAATCTGTTAATTTTAAAGGTCTTTGTATTAATAGGATGAACAATATATTTTGTTTTTCTTGTTTTCACTTGTGAGTTTGTTTAATTTCCAAGAAATGGGTGCAAATTTGCTCAATACATGTGTTTGTGAGAGTATTGTCTTTTCAGCCATATACAGGAATGGAGTGGAACACATTGTATTAGTACAGGTAGGCCTGCAAAACATATAACACACAGCATAAGTAATAATTTATGGACATACTGTAAACAATATAATTTATATTAAACAATAACATTGAAAACAATAAATAAATCAAAAGAATAATACTAGACTGTAGAACATTTATATACAATACAATACAATAGTGGATTTAACATCAAAATTTAAAGTCTAACCTTAAAATGCATGCTTTTTATGTATCCTTCTCACTTTGGTGAGTCAATAAAAATATTAGTAACACTTTAGTGTCCAATTCTCACTATTAACTTGGTTATTAGCATGAATATTACTGGGATATTGGCTGTTTATTATTACTTAAAAAGCACATATTAATGTCTTATTCTGCAAGACCTTATTCTAAATCCTTAATCCTACCCAATATTTAAATTTAGCAACTACTTTACTAAGTATTAATAATAAGCAGTAATTAGGAGTATATTGAGGCAAAAGTATATAGTTAGTTCATATTTAATAGATAGTTAATAGTGAGAATTGGACCCTAATCTAAAGTGTGACCAGAATAATTTATGTAGTTATCTATTATTTATTTGAAAGAATTAAAAGAACCATTTCATGTATATCCTTGTATCATTCATTAACTTTGATATAGGATTTAGAAAGTAATTAGTAATAAGTAATTAAATACTTTTTGGAGAGAGTAATTTGTACAGTAATCCAATTCCTTTGTTGAAGATGTAATTAGTAACTAGTAATTAATTACTTTTTTAGAGTAACTTACCCAACACTGATAACAATTACTAAAAATTAAAATAATACTGAAAATACAAAACATTAATGAATACTATAATAGCATATAAATAATTCTAAAACAACTCATATCATATCAACAAGAACTGGCAAAATCCACCCTCAAGGCATCCTAGGTGTATATGACTTTCTTCTTTCAGACGAATCTAATCTGAGTTATATTTTAAAAATGTCCTAGCTTTTTCAAGCTTTATAATGGCAGTGGGTGGGTGTTTTTGTTCAACAGTCCAAAATAAGTCCAATAAAGTGCCTCCATCCATAATAAAACGTGCCTCACACAGCTCCAGGGGTGAATAAAGGCATCCTGTTGCAAATTTATGTGTTTTTGTAAGAAAAATATCCATATTTAAAACGTTAGAAACAGTTTTCTCTAACTTCCGCTGTCGTACACGCAAGTAGTTCCGGGCGGATTATGTAGGACGTATGCTTGGCGCATGCGCCGGTGAGAATATGCTGAGATATGTCTCGTGAGAACCAATATTTGTTTACAGGAGCAAAGGAAGCAACGTTTCCTTACTTTAGCAAAGGAAAACCAGTCTCCTCTTGGCTTATATCGAAATCCTCCGACATTTTTCTTTACAAAACCTCGTTTTGTACCTCCAATTCATGACTGGCATTTTGTTTTGCTGTCTCTCCTCCTCGCTTCCGCGTTCGGCACTTCTCACCAGCGCATGCGCTACGCATACATCCTACGTCATCCGCCCGTACGTCATTGCACGTACGATAGTTAGCGGAAGTTAGCGAAAAGTGTTTATTACATTATAAATATATTTTTCTTACAAAAACGCATTGATTCTCTACAGGAGGTGAAGTAAAGTAAGTTGAAGCTGAGTAAAACATGGGCTAATTTTCATTTTTGGGTGAACTAACCCTTTAAATGGTTAATGGTTAAACTACAGTACTTACCATTGCCTGCAGTGCATGTGTGCACAACTATAATTAAAAGCAATCTGATTACCGATCAGCTGGCAGTTTTTAATTCTATTAAATGTACATTAGAACAACTTAAAATGGTAATATTTGAGAAGCCTAGATGGAGGCGTTGAGATGAAGGTGTTGTTCTTGATATTTGAGTGTGAAATAATGATATCACTGGATCCTTCAGCCTCAATCGATTGCAGTTATTAAGAGATAAATTATGAATGATGTTGGTTGTTTGGGTGTGACTCCTGAAGACCTCTATGCACTATTTTAATTTTTTCATCTGGATGGTGCATCTCTTTGAAAAAAGGGTGCAAATTTGCTCCGTCTGTGTTAGTGAGGGTATTGTAATTTCAGACATATATTAATTAATTCAGTTAATAGTTTTACCCTGTTTTAACACAGGTTTGTATGAATATGAAACGCAACAGCATCTAAACTCAAGTTAGAATCCACCATGGCAGTCTCTGTATGAATGTAGGCATGAATACTATTAATGATCAAATGGCTTCAGTCAAATGGTATTATAGGTTTTATTTATTATTAATATATATTTTTAACAGAGTGATATGGATGACATGCATTAATGTCTATAATAATATATAAATAATATGCATTATCAACAATATTCTCCAACAACCTTCATTGACACAACACAATAGCTACATAGTGTTAATATACTGTAAGTGTGCATACAGAGACGATGAACACCAACACGTTGGGAATGGGGGCCTGTTTTCCCTTAAAGCATAGATAAAACAGTGAAGTAAATTCTTGTATATTCTGTTGCAAATAATATTTTATGTAAATATGCACACAAGCACTTTAATTTGTATGCCTAATATGTAGAAGACGCAAAACTTTTCTTGGCTTGTTACATTCAGGAATTACATTAATTGTAAAGACACTTTAAATTCAATTCAAAATGGCCATATTTGAGAAACAAATTCAGTAGTTTGCGTCGCTGGATATTACTGTCGGCCGTGTTTAACATTTCTATCGTAAAACAACTGTCAAACACTATTAAATGATTTTGCTATTTACATCTCGCTCTGTTTTAACGTTAATGCTGACGTTTTGCGTTTACATTTATGCTCTGCTTCTGTGAACCCCAACTACTGTACTTTTATTTGATTGGCCATCTCTAAACATTTTGACATTGATGAGTGTTGTTGGACTGCTGAGGCAGACCAGCCTAAAAATGTCACTCATAAACTTTTTTGTTCTCCATTTTTAATTATTTCGAGGACTTGCAGTGAACTTGTCAAGCAATCAGAGATGCAGCTCAGAATATGTCTAGCTGTTGTTTTAAGAGAGATCATCTTTGTTTTTTGTTTTTATTTTTACTGTGCAGCTGTAGTGCAGTGAGAGGATTTCATGTGTTTGACAGCTTTTTTGTTCTTTTTTTTTGCTTTCTTGCACCAAAACACAGAGCGGATCTGCTTTCTGCATTGAGACGAGCCGTAGTAGTACAGCAGAGGGTCCAGAAAAACACTTGCGCTCCCCAAACACACAGCCAACAGATAAGCCGCATATGATGAATCTCCCTCACGGTGGTCTCCATTAGCTAAATAAACACAGTGGTACAACAGGATGACATTGGTTGAAGCAAAGCACACCACAAACTCAATCAGCACAGCAACAGCCATAATAACAGCTCTCTTTCGCTTGTCTGAAGATGAAGATGATGTTAAGCGATCAGATTTTGCACTAAGTGCATATATGATGGTGGAGTAGCTCACAAAAGTCACGACCAGAGGCAAGAAGAAGTAGAGGCAGGAGAGGATGGAAAACAAGTACACATAATACACTACTGTAGGGTCATTTTGGCGTAGCACATCATGGCAGGTGACACCCACATTCTCAGTCTTAACTGTTTGACTCACTGAGAGAAGCGGCACTGTACCAGCGAGTGCAAGCAGCCAGACCAGCACACATACACATGTAGCTTTCCTTGTGCTCCTCCAGGTCAGAGAGGCGATGGGAAACACCACGGCCAGCAGCCTGTCCACACTCATGCACATCATCAGCAGTATGGAGCAGTACATGTAGCAGTAGTAAGCTGCACTGAGCACACGACACGCTGCCTCACCAAACACCCAATCTGAAGCATTCAGCTGGTAGTGGATCTTCAGAGGCAGCAGCAGGGTAAAGAGCACATCCACACACGCCAGGTGAGACATGTAGATCACAGCTGGTTTCTTCTCTCGAATCTTACAGGTGAATGCCACCAAAGCCACAGTGTTCAGGGGCAAACTAATGAGGATGATGAAGATGTAGAATGAGGGCATGACGCGTGTGACCAGCAGGCCTTTGAGGAAGACAACAGACTCTTCTAAGATGTTTAATGTGTCAGAGATTGGTGCAGTTTTGTGATCGTATGATGCTGTATCTGGAGTACTGCTCATATTCAATGGTTGAGACCTCTCATTATGGCCTAAAAACCCACCCATAGGAGGTAAAAAGCAGTCAGGACCTGTAACCAACACAAAACACAAGTAAATTTCTCATACTACAACCAGACAATAACAAAATAAATTTTAACACATGAACAGCTACAGTACATATGTTGAATGACTCAGTGAATGGTTTAGTTTGTAGATTAAGTCAATGTACCCTGAATATTATTACCAATCTGAAAATGTAAGTATTCTATGAGGAGGCGATATTGAATGTATTTTTACAACATAAATCATACAAAAACATACCATTATTACAAAAAAAATAATAGTGGTCCCCTAAACATATATCCTAACTGTCAGTGGTTATAGTTATGAATTGCCATGTGATTGTGTTGCATATTACTGTTATGTGTTGACGAAGAGTTCAGATTAATGCTGTTTAGATTAAGAGGCGGAACACAGTGAAAATCTGTAATTAATACAAAAGACCATTAGTGGAAACTCTCAGCCATGATACAATCAGACAATAATTAAGAGGAGGACACATTTGCAAAAAGGATTTGATGGAGATTATGTAATATTAAAGGAATTCAGATTCAAGCTTCAGGATATTTATAATGCATAAATACACTTTATGGTGCTTGTGAGGGATGATAGATGAAATATGATACAGCAGTTGGCAATGTTACATGAAACCGACACCACTGATAGAAACCAACTAACAATAGCTACAGTGCTTTATTGTGAAATATACTTTATCACCCATCTGTGTTATATACTGCAAAAATTGAGGACATCGGAATTGAGCACTAAGCCTCGCAGTGTGAAGCCTGTCTTAACAGACTCCCTAAAGGGAGTGGTGTGTTTGGTGTGGGGGTAATTAAGAAAGAATGGGGAAAAGTCATGTGAGAGGAGACATGCTTCCATTGCGATATGATTGGATATGACTATCCAATCATATGGATATGGTTGTAGTCGGCTGTGATTGGTTCATGCAAAAAATCTCGGCTCTTGTATCTGTGATCGTACTGTGTTTGCGAACCAGTCTGAATGAAAAATATAATGGCATTAATGGGAAGACTAATAAAGAAGTAAACAATTCACACACGTATATGAATAGACATATGAATAAACACTGCCACATAGAGGATTTGTGTATCACCGTTTCTGTGTAAAAGTGTGAAATGGAAATTTTGTCTGCATTTACTCACCCTCTTTTAATTCATCTTGAGAGTTTTCTGTCCCTTCATTAAAAGTCCATGCAACCAAAACTTGGAAGATCCAAAAAGGCATCGCAAAACTAATCCACATGAATTGAGTCTTGTGAAGAGATATTTTTCGACAACGACTCAATATTTGTGTTCGTAATTTAGGTATGGACTTTAACTGGAGGGACAGAAACTTCTCAGGTTACATTATAAAAAAATTTTACTTTGTTTTTAACAGATTAACCAAAGTCTTTTGGGTTTGGAACAACATGACCTCCTCTTCCTGGTGACCCTGAAACGAGTTTAACAGACATCTGCGTTGAAGACTTCTTGTCATCAATTGGCTCATCAGTCTGTTCAAAGCTGCTTACAGAGCTCTCTGCAATCAAACAGACCAAATCACCATCAGTGAAAACATTCAAACTACTAAAGGGCATTGGGTCCTATTTGCAACACCTCTACCTGGTGACCCTGAACTGAGTTCATCAGACATCGTTGAAGAATCGTTGTCATCAATTGGCTCATTAGTCTGTTCAAAGCTGCTTACAGAGCTCTCTGCAACCAAAACAACCATCAGTGAAAACACACAAACTACTAAAGGAAATTCGATCCCATTTGCAAAGAGGCCTTAATTACAGTGACAAGCTAAATCATTTCCTGTGAGCACTATTATCAGCCCATCTCTAAGCCATGGGTGTTGAGAGCCAAGAGGCCTGTTGCTGGAGACCAAGGCTGTATCTCATTGCTAGTTTTACTTGATCTTAGTGCTACGTTTGACACTATAGATCATGACATACTCATAGATCGATTACAAAACTATACAGGTATTCAAGGGCAGGCTTTAAGATGGTTTAGATCCTACCTGTCCGATCGCTACCACTTTGTTCATTTAAATGGGGAGTCATCTCAATTATCACCAGTAAAATATGGAGTGCCACAAGGATCTGTCCTAGGTCCTCTGCTATTTTCGATATACATGTTGCCCCTTGGTAATATTATTTGAAAATACGGGATTAGTTTCCACTGTTATGCCGATGATACTCAACTATATATCTCAAAAAGAGCTGATGAAACTTCTAAACTATCTAAGCTAACAGAATGTGTTAAAAATATAAAAGATTGGATGACCAATAATTTTCTCCTATTAAATTCGGATAAGACAGAGATATTACTTAGACCAAAAAAAAAAAAAAACAGTACACAGAATCTCTTGGATTACAATTTACAACTAGACGGATGCACGGTTACTTCCTCTACAGTCAAAAATCTGGGTGTTACATTAGA